ACCCGAATTCGTAAAAAAATCAAAAATTAAATAAACAAACAATGGCAATTTATTGACCAACGGTTGAACGGTTGGTTGTTATGATGTGCAGAGCGAGCCGCTTCGCCACGATTGCCGCCGCTCGTCTCCAACACGCACGCATACACCAACCCTTCCGCTCATTGCGAGTGGCATCGCTCGTGAGTGAGCAGCAAACCATTTTTTGCGCAAGCCAACGCACTTTCTTCGCTCAAACAACACAAATCCAATTACGAGAAATACCCGCTAGCCGACCCAGCCGATCGTTTGATTGTTTCCATGATGTTCTGGGTCTCTCTCTCTCTCTCTCTCTCTCTTTGTCCTGCAGAGCATTACAAGTGTATGCTTATTTGCTGCTGAAGGTCAACCCTTCTCCCCCCTCCCCATTGTGCTCTACGTCCTTCTGCTTGTTCTGACTGTGGGTTGCATCGAAAATCCTCCCCCCCTTTTTTTTTGACTTGGTCGGATTTTATTTCAATTTGTGTCCTTTTTCCCTCAATTTCAAAACAAAATGATTCATTCACGCAACAACCAACTCAACGAGCAGCCCAGCGACCGTCCGCACACGCTTCGAACGAGGGGAACATAAAAAAAAATCACCGAGAAATAGAGAACGAGAGAATGTGAGAGCGAGTGAGCGTTGTGTGAATGATCTACTTCACGTGGGACCAGCTCGAAACGAATCCAAATAAAAAATAAAAAATATAACAATCGGTGGCACCAGCCCTTCTTCCTGTTGTTGTTCTCTCTGCTCCATGACGAGGTGGACGAGTGGGGCCGAAAATGACAAACATGAGGAAACGGGAAAAAAAAAAAAAACAAGCGTCTGAGATCTCGCACCCGAGCCAAAGTGTTGTGGAGCAAGTGCCCGAATGAACCCAAATTGGGAGACGAGTTGCGGGATTGGTGGTTTAGCACTCGTCGAAACGTGAAACGCCCGTCGGAACGACCAAGATGGAAAATAGCAAAATGGGGCGATGAAGCGACGAAGCCGGGGGCAATGAAGCAAAGGAATGCAAAGAATTGAGAGGTTGGGGTTGAGGTTGATTGAGAAGATTGCTCACTCATTGTTTCGCTGTTTCGCCGTTTCGCCGTTTGGTTTCTCTTGTTATGAGCAGCTGCATTTTCCGAGACCGAAGCGGGCTGGTGAGTTATCGTACGACTTTGGATGTAATCATTATCGTTTCAGTGCTGATCGATGCTCACTTGCTGGAGTTTCGTTCCTAGGTTCAAGCTGTTTACTCAGGATAATGCCAATTGGGAATCCGCCGATGTTGGCACGGAAACGCAGTGTTATTTTGCAGGGGTAAGGCGGCCAAGCATGAAGCATGGAATAAACGCGCGAGAGAGGGTCGAGAGATTTCTGACAAGACACATCATGCAATGTTTGAACACGGCCAGTTCCGGTCGAAGCATGACAATCACGATGAGGACCGCTGGTGGGATTATCACGAGTACTGCATCACGCATTCTGGCGAACAAATCACGAAAGGGAACTCACCCGACGCCTACTTTCAGATGAACGACTGGGACCAGGTAATAAGCTTTGGATTCGCATTCAGGATGGATGTAGCTTGTGTTGATCTGGAGCTGATGCCTGTTGGTACGACAGGATTTCAGCTGGACTGCCACGACAGGTCGAACAATCTACGGAATGAACTCGCGCCACTGGAACACCAAAGAAGATCGTCTTTATCAAGTGAAAACCGTTGAAATGATTCCCGAGTTCGAGTACACGGGTGGTTGTTCGACGACTGCCGAAGTGAATAACTTTGACGGAGATCTAGACTACACATGCCCTCTGGTGTTTGAGTACATTGCAGGAATGTCTTCAGGTAAAGAATCGTACGATTGGTGGATCACAAAATTGGGTCTGACCCCTTAGCGTTGAATGGCTTGCAGTTAACAGCAACAGCAATGAAGATCGCCGCTGGAAGTACACCTGCTGCAAGATGGCAGCCAAGTCGTGTGGTTTCCCTGCATCATTCACGTCTGGCTCGTGGAACTGCAACCGACAGACAGTTGGTGGCGTTTGCAGTCATTCGTGTGCCACCGGCACTCGCTCAACATCCGCTTCAGGCACTGTTACGTGTCAGTCAAACAAGTTTTGGTCGACGCGCAATTTCCAATGCAACACGATCAACTGTGGCAATCCAAGCAATCCGACGAATGGACAGTTTAATTGCGGTAGCACGACTTGTAAGACTACTGATGCTGTTCTACTGTCAGGATGCGCCCGCATGCAAAACTCATCAAAATGATCGTTTGTGTTTGTTTTCGTTTGTTTTCGACAATGCCCTTCAGATCAGGGAACTTGCTCAATGAGCTGCAACAATGGATATCAGCTGTCTGCCGCCGCAACCATCACTTGCTCAGACTACACTAGCTCTTTCGGTTGGTCCTCTTACTCGAGCTCTTGTAATACTATCACAAACTACTGCCCAGCCCCGCCAACTTCAATCACTCTCGGCAGCGTGAGCTGCCAGCCGACCACTCGCAGCATCGGAACAGTGTGCACCTACTCTTGCGATTCGGGCTATGTCGTGGACGGCACATCGCAGCGTGTTGTTCCAGTCACTTGCCTGTCCAGCACTGCTTCTGTCGGTGTGTGGTCGCGCGCGACACCAACGTGTGTTCTGTATGCGGAACATTGCCCGCACACTATGGCAGCGCCAACCAATGGAGCTGTCAACTGTGATGGATACTCGCTTGGTGGTATCTGCACTGTTTCTTGCAACGCTGGCTTCCGTCTGCGTGGTTATGCGCCACTTGCTACTGTCGATTCGGTGTGCAAAGCGGATACCACCTGGTCACGTCCCGAGACGTTCTACTGCGACCCGATCGCCTGCCCCGCGCTTTCACTTGGTAATGGTGGACTGAATTGCGTTGGAGGAACGACTGCTTACAACTCGCAGTGCACCCCGTACTGCAACGCTGGCTTCACACTGGAGGGCGACTACACTGGCGCAGTGCGCTGCAACGCCTCGCAGCTGTGGAACGCAACCCTCTCTGCGCACTGCCAGATTGTGTCGTGCGACCCTCTGACTCTCGAAAACGGTGCCATCGACTGCACCAATGGCAACACAAACTACCTCTCGGAATGCACACCGAGCTGCAATGCAGGCTACACCCTTGGCGGAGCCAACACAAATCCTGTGACGTGTCAGGCGTCGCGCGAGTGGAGCGCAACGCTGCAAGCAGAATGCACGATTGTATCGTGCGATCCTCTGACGCTTGAAAACGGTGCTGTTCTGTGCACCAACGACAACACAAACTACGGATCCGAGTGCATCCCGAGCTGCAACCCCGGCTACTCGCTTGGAGGAGACTACGCCGATGTTGTCGAGTGCCTGGCGACACGAGAGTGGGACCGCCCGATGGACGCCTCGTGCACCATTGTTGCCTGCGATGTTCTGACGCTTCCGCACGGCACCGTGAACTGCACGAACAACTCGACCGACTTTGGCTCTGAATGCACCTCGTCCTGCGATTCGGGTTACCAGCTGGTCGGTGGTTACACGGGAGCACTCTTCTGCAACTCCTCGAGATACTGGAATGTCACTTTCACCGCTCGGTGCGAATTCATTGAGTCGGGTACGGCAACTGCGACTGCCCTCGGCGCGGGTGTCGGTGCTGGATTCTTTGTCCTTCTCCTCTTGTTGCTTTTCCTGCTGGTACTCGCTCGCCGTCGCCGCTCCCGCTCAAAGAAGCCGCTTCCGGAGCAAAATTCTCAGTCGATGATTCTTGTTCCTTCCGAACTGCGCCAATCCGCCTCCGCTTATGAGTCCACCGTCGAGAATGAAACCTACTCTGAGCTTCATGCCATCTGTGACACCTACGACTCGTTGCAGCGTCCTGCGACAGACACATACTCTGCACTGAATGGCGGTGCGGGCGTTTACAGTCAGCCGACTTACTTGAGCAGCTCCGTCCCGCGTGCGTCAATGTCGACCAGTGGGCCAGATGCGCTCAACTACGCCCAAATCTACGCTTCTCCATCAGGAGGGCCTGCTACCGATGAAGCTGAGGCCGCGCCACCCGCTTATGACAACCCAAGCACCGGCAGCAGCCACTATGACAATGCCGTTTTCGATAAGGCCACAGAAGCACTGGGATTGAGTGATCCTGTTTCCCATCCGAGCGCCGAAAGCCCGCCCGATGCGGCAACTTATGCCAACATCGTCAACGAGACTCCCGAGCCTGCTGTTGAACCCAGCGAAGACAACAGCTAAACGTCTGATTCGAGCGCTGGCATTCGGTTTTCACCAGCTGTACTATGTTGTGACGATTTTGTTGTCATTTGTTGCGACGATTCTTGTGTATTTCGCTTGGCCCTGCAGTTGTAGAATTACCAAAAGAATCAACAAACAATTGTAAAAAACAAACATTGGTCCGATGAACCACACCTCTCACTCTGCGACCTCCGTTCTCTTGTCCGCAGGAGTCGTACGGTGATTTTCAACGACTGTAGAGAGAAGGAGAGAGGAGAGCAAGGAAGGAGGGGAAAGTGCGTTTTTGTTTTTGTGGTTGATAACCTGAGGTGCATGAGCCTTTGGGATGCAATGTCTAGTCGCTCTCGCCGTTTTTCAGATTGAGCTGTGTTACTCCAACTCCATCAGAACGCGATTTGAACATCTTGCTGAAATCGGCAATGCCGCATTCGTTTTTTTTTTAACTTTTTTTTTTTTTCATCGGCTCGCTCTTTTCTTTTGATCTTCTTCTTCGTTCTTTCTTGCTTTTTCACTTGTTCCATGCGTTTGTTCCGTTGTCTGAACGGTGCTCTTGTAGCATCGTTAGCGCTTTTGGCGCTCACGCACAGCGTTTCTGGTACTGCCTGCACCCACTCAATCTCTCGTCACCCGTTGAGCACTTCACCGAGTAGATCATGAAACCCGGAAAACAAAAAAACAAACAAAAACACCGAGAAACAAAAACAAGTCAACCCCGGCAGATAAACCGCATCTTTGAACGCAGGCGACGATAGCTTGTCTCTGGAGAGAGAGAGAGAGAGAGAGAGACAGAGAGAGAGAACCAGAGTGCTCGTTCGTTTCCGCTCTTTGTTGTTGCAGTTGTTGTTGTTGTTGTGAAGCAACGTGAGGACTGTTCAGCGATGACCGCGGGGGCTTGCGCATTTTTTTTTATTTTCAACCAACAATCGGGAAATAAAAAAATCAAAAACTGCCTCGCTCACGCCACACGGCAGCGAGGCTCTTTTCGTTTCGCCATGGGTGCTTTATGCCCTCCATTTCACCCCAGCACTCGTTCGTGCGAATTCTCAGCGCGTGCAAGCAGCGGGCACATGAAAGGGGGGGGGGCGTGCGTTTGTCTGGTCGAAGAATGAAGTTCGGTGCGGTGATTAATTGCGTGTGTTTGTATTTTTTTTTTTTTTTTTTTTTTTTTTTTTTTTTTTGGGTTTGTTTGTTTCCCCAATGCTTTAAAGCTTTTGTTGATGGGGATGATTCATGCTTTCAGATGCGCTGTTGCTCTCTCTCAACACAAGGAGATGCGAGCCCATCAATATCTTGGAATATTCATGCTAAAAATAAGAAAGAGAAAGAGAAAAAGCAAGAGAGCGAAGGTGCATGCAAGGGAGGCAAAGGGGAGAGCCACTCACCCGAGTGTGCGGGTTTGTTTTTTTGGTTGAACGGGTTTTTTGGTTCACCGTTTGCCTTGTGTGCGACCTTCGCTAAAGTCCCAAGTTCTCGACTTTGGCGTTGTGAATTGCGTTGTTACACCTTGCTTGCCGCAGTGTGCTTCCTTCGGACACGTCGTTCTTCCGAAACGAAAAGACAAACCAAAACAAAAAAAAAAACAAAAAAAAAAAAACAAAAAAAAAAAAAAACAACCGCCCAGCAGTTTTCTTTTTCCATTTTCGGTGGGTTGATTCAGCCGACGGTGGTTGAGTGCAAAGTCGATTTTATTGAATTCAATCCCGGCAGTCAATTAGAGCTCTAAGAAAGGAGGGAAAAGCGGAGGGTGAGGAGCAGGACAAAAGGGTATTTGGAAGCCAGCGCAGCGCTGTGAAATTGGAACTCACCCTTTGTGTTGATTGCTTTTGGTTGCGCAGCGACCTTCTACGATACCGACTATGGATGGTACGTTTGCAACTCGCGAGGGTCTTTTGGTGCGTTTGCTCCAATTGACTTACTTTGTCGCAATATAGGTATCATCTGTTCACGATGGACAACAGCAACTGGGAATCGGCCGATGTCGGCACGGAAGTGCAATGCTGGTTCAAGGGCGTAAGTACGGGGAGCGTTGCATTGCATGATGTGCTGGCGCTGACTGTGTAAATCCGCTGTTAGTTTGAATCCGAGCACGATAACAAGAAAGAAGACCGTTGGTGGAAGTATCGCAGGAGTTGCATCACGCATTCTGGCGAACAAATCACGAAAGGAAACACACCCGACGAGTACTACTTTCAGATGAACGATTGGGATCAGGTAATAAGCTTTGGATTCGCATTCAGGATGGATGCAGCTTGTGTTGATCTGGAGCTGATGCCTGTTGGTACGATAGGATTTCAGCTGGACTGCTGGTCAGGGTCGAACAATCTACGGGATGAACTCGCGCCACTGGAACACCAAAGAAGATCGTCTTTATCAAGTGAAAACCGTTCAAATGATTCCCGAGTTCGAGTACACGGGTGGGTGTTCGACGACTGCCGAAGTGAACAACTATGACGACCGTCTAGACTACACCTGCCCCCAGTCTTTTCAGTATATCGCTGGCATGTCTTCAGGTAAAGAATCGTACGATTGGTGGATTCCAAGAATGTGATCTCACCTGCGCGATCTTCAGTGAATGATAACGACGAGGAGGACCGGCGCTGGAAGTACACCTGCTGCAAGATGGGTGCCAAGTCGTGTGGTTCACCTGAACCATTCACGTCTGGCTCGTGGAACTGCAACCGACAGACAGTTGGTGGCGTTTGCAGTCATTCGTGTGCCACCGGCACTCGCTCAACATCCGCTTCAGGCACTGTTACGTGTCAGTCAAACAAGTATTGGACTGGCCGCAATTTCCAATGCAACACGATCAACTGTGGCAATCCAAGCAATCCAGCGAATGGCAAATTCACATGCGGGAGCACGACTTGTAAGAGTACTGATGCTGTTCAACTGTCAGGATGCACCCGCATGCAAAACTCATCAAAATGATCGTTTGTGTTTGTTTTCGTTTGTTTTCGACAATGCCCTTTAGATCAGGGAACTTGCTCAATGAGCTGCAACAATGGATATCAGCTGTCTGCCGCCGCAACCATCACTTGCTCAGACTACACTAGCTCTTTCGGTTGGTCCTCTTACTCGAGCTCTTGTAACACTATCACAAACTACTGCCCAGCCCCGCCAACCTCAATCACTCTCGGCAGCGTGAGCTGCCAGCCGACCACTCGCAGCATCGGAACAGTGTGCACCTACTCTTGCGATTCGGGCTATGTCGTGGACGGCACATCGCAGCGTGTTGTTCCAGTCACTTGCCTGTCCAGCACTGCTTCTGTCGGTGTGTGGTCGCGCGCGACACCAACGTGTGTTCTGTATGCGGAACATTGCCCGCACACTATGGCAGCGCCAACCAATGGAGCTGTCAACTGTGATGGATACTCGCTTGGTGGTATCTGCACTGTTTCTTGCAACGCTGGCTTCCGTCTGCGTGGTTATGCGCCACTTGCTACTGTCGATTCGGTGTGCAAAGCGGATACCACCTGGTCACGTCCCGAGACGTTCTACTGCGACCCGATCGCCTGCCCCGCGCTTTCTCTTGGTAATGGTGGACTGAACTGCGTTGGAGGAACGATTGCTTACAACTCGCAGTGCACCCCGTACTGCAACGCTGGCTTCACACTGGAGGGCGACTACACTGGCGCAGTGCGCTGCAACGCCTCGCAGCTGTGGAACGCAACCCTCTCTGCGCACTGCCAGATTGTGTCGTGCGACCCTCTGACTCTCGAAAACGGTGCCATCGACTGCACCAATGGCAACACAAACTACCTCTCGGAATGCACACCGAGCTGCAATGCAGGCTACACCCTTGGCGGAGCCAACACAAATCCTGTGACGTGTCAGGCGTCGCGCGAGTGGAGTGCAACGTTGCAAGCAGAATGTACGATTGTATCGTGCGATCCTCTGACGCTTGAACACGGTGCCGTTCTTTGCACCAACGACAACACAAACTACGGATCCGAGTGCATCCCGAGCTGCAACCCCGGCTACTCGCTTGGAGGAGACTACGCCGATGTTGTCGAGTGCCTGGCGACGCGAGAGTGGGACCGCCCGATGGACGCCTCGTGCACCATTGTTGCCTGCGATGTTCTGACGCTTCCGCACGGCACCGTGAACTGCACGAACAACTCGACCGACTTTGGCTCGGAATGCACTGTGTCTTGCGCCAAAGGCTATCGACTGACCGGGAACTACACCGACGGCCTTGCTTGTACTGCAAGCCGAACCTGGAACGCCACCTTGCTCGCGCATTGCGAGTTCATCGAACCTCCGTCGTCCGGCTCCGCTACCGTCACAGCGATCGGGGCTGGTGCCGGTGCAGGATTCTTCCTGCTCCTTCTCCTTTTGCTGCTCTTGCTCGTGCTTGCACGCCGTCGTCGCGCCAAGAAGCAGAAACCTGTTTATGAGACAAACTCGAGTGTGTTCCTGGTTCCCGGAATTCTGCGCCAACCGAGCACGACCTCATCTAATTTCACTACGACCGTTGTGAACGAGGCGTTCAGCGCCGACTACGACACTCTCCAGAGGAAAGAAGACACGTACGCTACGCTTGGCGGCGGAGGTTCAGAAGAGTTGTACGACAGTCTTGGTGCACCTGCCTACGGAAATTCCCAAGCCTTGTATGGAAACTCTGGCATGCCTACCGATGACGATTCAGCATATGCGTCGCCTGCCGCTCGGATTGCGGACACAAGCGCTTTGCCCCCTCAGTACGAAAGCTCTGTGGTGCAGAAGGCGATTGAGGCCGGGTATGAACCTCACACTGCCGCTTCCGCAATCTCCAGTGAGGAGGTGGCCTACAAAACTCCCGTGTTTGCAACCCCTGCCTCTGAGGCCCAGCCCGACTCGTACGTGACCTTGGACGAGGAGTCCCCGTAAACGGCCAGTATGTATGCTGTATGTTGCGAGTTTTTCGGTTTTCGCATCAACTGGCGCCGTTCGATTCTTTCTCGTTTTTGGTTGTGTCTACGCATTTTCGCTTGAACTTTTTATTGTCGTTGTCATTCCATTGTTGTTTGTTGCTCTCATCGTTTCGTGCCACATGCCGGTCTTACGTCAGACTGCAGCATGACTCGTTGGCCGTGTACAAAACCTTTTCGAAATTAATTCTGCTTTGTGAATCTCGCCCGTTCATGCCAATGTATTTTGCTGCAACGTCAATCTTGATGCACGTTTGAGTCCGCTTGCAAGCGGCCCCATTTGAGCTGTCTGCCGCTTCTACTGTCTTATCACCACTTTCCGTTGTGGATTTGTGGGGACGCATTTCACCTTTTTTTTTTTTTCTCTCGTTTCACAATGCTGTCAGGTCGGCTGGTGACAACTGTCGCGTTTTTGGTGCTTGCGGCGCTTGTCCACAACTCTTCCGGTGCGTACCAAATCCGCAACTTGCACTTCCTATCTCCGACGCAGAACACTGCAGTATCTTGCACATCATCATCCACTCAGCTTGACAGTGTTGATGCGATTACTCATCCCACCCCGCACCCAAACCCACCGCACCCAACCTCATTCCACTCGACTCCAACCATCCCGATCACCACCATCCCGACCACCTTCACTTCCACAACCATCTTTATCACTGTCATCACTGCCGTCCCTGACGCGATCTATTGCGACTGTCCGTACGCAAGCGAGCGTGGGCTGAACTCAATTGCGGACCGTTTTTAATGAAGCAGGTTTGTAGTTTTTTTTATTTATTAATTTTGGTCAAGTGTGAATCGTTTCACGATCAAGACAACACTCGACAAAGCGACCACTCCGGAACGCCCAGCACCAGTGCAATCAGATACCAAGACGAGCCTGTTGGAGCTTTGAGAGCGAGCGAGACACT